ATATATACATTTTTTTTATTCAATGTATATACATTTTTAAATATAAAAAATGTCAGATATAAATGATTATTTTCATATTATAAAAGAATCTCTGTATGTTATTCCTCTTGCTTGCATGAGCACAAAATAATATTTTTTGTCTTGTATAAAAATGTGGAAATTAATATAAGGTTTGCTGGGGACAAAATTATATGTTCAGACTATCTAGTGCATTGTGAGTACCTGTATAATCTTTATCATTATATATTGTAATATTTGTGAAAGTGATGTTGAAGAGACTGGATTTAGTTACTGAAGGATTGCATAAAAAGTAAGAACCTAACACAAAAATAAAACTCATTTATCATAGATATCCTTTGACAAACTATACATTTGGAACAAAAGAGCCACTCTTCGAGAAAGATCCATCTGTACCAGCAAGGTTTCAGCGTATGCGAGATGAATTCGATAAAATTGGAATGCGTCGCAGTGTTGAAGGGGTTTTATTGGTACATGAACATGGATTACCACATGTTCTGCTGCTCCAATTGGGAACAACTTTCTTCAAATTGTAAGCACTATTATAATATCAATTATAATATATATATAAAAACTCAAAGGACGAATTTATTAATTAAAAATTTATGTAATGAGAAAATTATTAAAATCATTAGATTATCAGTTATTAGATGTCATGGGATTCTAATTTTATTTGACAAATTTTAGTTTTTTTATATCTCTAAACTTGATTATAAAAAGTCTATTAAAAGATATAAAAATATTTATATATTTTCTTTTTATTATTTTTTAGACCTGGTGGAGAACTAAATGCAGGAGAAGACGAGGTAGAGGGCCTGAAACGGCTCCTTACAGAGGTAACAGTTAGCACGAAGCCTTATGCTACCTTATATGGTAGCTAGGAGTGGCACTTTGATATGTTAGATTATAACACTGTTTAAGGATCAATTGTATTAATCCTACAGATATTTGTAGAACTTATGTAACCGGGCCTGTAGCTCAAAATAGGGAATTTTAAATTAATTATATTAGTATTTATATTTTTAGTGCGCTGCATGCCCGGACATTTCAATGTTTATAGTTATGAAATTATAATTTTTTATACATTATACATATCATGGTTAGCTAAGAACATTGTTCTTGTGTCACTCGCTATATGTTAATTCAGAAATAGAAGAGGCAAGACATGAAGATTGTAATACTATGACAAGAAGACTGTATTTTATATATCATTACCAATTTTTTGTTGTAATTCATTGAAAAGACAAAAAGTACTTAAAATATATAGGATTATAATTCTTCTTCATATAACAAATAGGCATTTTTTAGATTTTATATTTACTAATTTGTCAAATTTTTGATTAAAATGATAAACGTATGTACAACAGCTGTTTCATTTAATTAGGTATCTGTAAGTAAAAAAAATCGGAAGTATTTCTATAAATACTTTTAATCTATATACATTATATAGAAGGAACATATTAGGTAATCATTGATCAAGTTAAATTGTTACCCGAATAAAATTATATACCCATCTTAAATAATGTAAACAATGTACATATGTCAAAATTATGTAACCATGTTCTTAGTGAACTGAACGAAGAAGATTGTATTTTGATGTATACACAGTATAGTAGAATTGGGAAAGAGAGAAAGAAAAAGAAAAATAACTGATACTATAATATTAAAATAATTTTCAGACCTTTGGGCGTCAAGATGGTGTTAAACAGGAATGGGTAATAGAAGATACCATTGGAAATTGGTGGAGACCTAATTTTGAACCACCTCAGTATCCTTATGTACCACCACATATTACCAAACCAAAGGAACATAAAAGGTTGTTTCTTGTTCAACTGCAAGAGAAAGGTAATATATCTTTTACTTATAATTATTATTCATGAGTAAAAATATATTGCTATATTGAAATGTAATAGAATCCAATATATCATAATATAATTATTTTTATATTTTTTAGCTCTATTTGCAGTACCAAAAAATTATAAATTAGTAGCTGCACCTTTGTTTGAATTATATGATAATTCACAAGGATATGGACCTATTATTTCCTCCCTACCCCAATCTCTTTGCAGGTAA